GAGAGGTGGTGAGGGAGGTAGAAGAGGTTGATGAAGCAGAAGCTTGCCTTGTACCCACTATTGTCTCTGTCTCCTCCTATAAGACTCAAATAAATACATGGTTTGTTACAATACTGAACTCTACAGTATATGCTGGACACTATTATATCAATATTAGTATTTGTGCTGCTGTGCAGTGTGTCTATTTTCTATAAAAATGAAGATTTATTCTACCATTGAATATAAAGTGATTATTAATTTGCAAAACCATTTAAAATCATTTTGTGTCAACATGCTTTTTATTGGTGAAAAACACCAAAAACATAATCTCCATCATTTTAATAATGGGGGGAATTTAAATGATGTCTATGTTGTCTTAGATCAGTCCGTATATGACACAATGGTGGTCAATTTTATTTTTTAAAATACTATAGATATGTAGCTTAGACATATAAGGGTCAACAGGGAAAGCAGAGCACCTACAGCATCTCTCAGGGAACCAAAGATCATCCATTCCAGCTGGTAATATAATCTCTGCAGCACGTCAGGGGTCTGCCCTGGGTCCTTTTTAAGACGGTGTCCAAAACACCTCTAAAAGTTTGACGCCTGGAGTGAGTTCAGTCAACTGTAACACGGCTTATCACTGCAGGATAGAAACTGCACCATGGTCAATCTTCTGACCCCAGCATCCCATCAGCTATGGCTTTAAAAGTACTGGCTCTATAATGAACTCTGATGGATGAATGAATTAAACCTTTACCGTCCCTGGGGGAATTGGTTTTGCTTATCGAAAGATTTATATGACAAAAGCAGAAGTTCAAGTAAGTGCCAATTACAGATCAGAGATTGTTAATCCGCTGAATTGTTGTGTTTAAAGGGTGCATGTGTAGGTGCACCGCTGCCTGATGCACTGAAACAGAGATCGATGGACCCCCTCACATACATTCCCGTCCCATCATGTAAATAATACGCCACATTGGTTCAATATCAATCCTGACACCCCGTTTAACAACCCTGTCTAGTTCTGAGTCTGTCTGTTTGAATAAACTCCAGAGGTCCAGTTACAAACTCTAACACAAATAAGGATCAGCACCTCTAGGTCTGAGGTCCTGCTGATTTCACAGACTAACGGTGTGTCCCATTCAAGACAGGGCAAATAAGGGAGGCCATCCACAAATAGGGGATACAACAGTTAGATGAGAGCATTGCTCATTTGAGGGTAAATGATCCATAATAAAACATGTTGTGATTTACTATTTATTTATTTGACTTTTAGAGATCATTTGGGGATAATCGGACTGCAGGAGCTTCAACACACAGCTACTGTTTGAATTTTTCAATCTACCATGTTAATGATGAAAAATAAAGATAAGCAACACAAGTGATTCAAACTTACTGTCCAGGATTAATCCCACTAATGGCTCCTTATCCTTATTGAGGATTTCCCACAATGCAAAGGGCTCCTGCGGGGTCTCAGGAAGCAGGCGGAGCATCAGAGAAATGGTGTAATCAGAGGGTAAACCTTCTGGGTGAAGGTACCTGGTACACAAGTGAAAGAACACACATGTTAAAACACACACACACACACACACACACACACACACACACACACACACACACACACACACACACACACACACACACACACACACACACACACACACAGGTAGATAGTGAGCTTAGCTTGTGCCCTGAAGGAATGTATCCACAAGGTGTCATTTTCAAAGTGCCGTTGTCTCTTTTCAGCTCTTGTGAACGCTCTCAGAGTGTTTTTGGCTGCCTGGAACTGTCTTACTGTGCCAGCGTCTTTTTGATCTCAGAGCGGCGTGTTTTTTTTGTGCAGCTGCCTTCAAGCACTTTAGTTTCAAATGATCTCAGCTTTAACTTTTCAGAGGGCTCGTCAATTGCACTTTTCACAGAATGAAGAATCATAGACTAAGGAGCTAAAGTTAAAGCTGGTTGAAAACCAAGAAAAAAGCTCCAAAATGAAAACATGAGAAAAAGAAAGACTTCAGAGAAAGAACATTTAAAGCCATTGAAGCTCCCATTAAGTTTGTGTATGTCTATAGTCAATATTTAAAACCATTTTTTCCAGCGTCTGTTTTTGTTGTTATGTTTTTTGTTTTTTTTTCCAGAAAAATAAAATATACATAGCCTACATACATAACAACACAGCCTGCTAAATGTATCACATATCAAGATATCAAAGTACCACGGCAAACCACAGGGCAGGACAATAACTGACAAGACGGACAAAACGGACAAAGGGAACATCACAGAGGTAGAGCATCATCCATGGCATACACGATATACATGATAGACACGGGGCATGAATACAACATGTGCAGTAGAGTGCCACATGTAGTATCACATCCCTTACACAAGTCAGAGCCTCTGAGTCCTAGCCTTGCCATTTTACTTGGAGTCCAATATGTTCTACTGATGACTTTATAATTAATCAGACGTGTCTGTATTTCCCTTGAAACTTTAAACCATGACCCGGGGCAGCTGTGGCTCAGTGAATAGAGTGCTGGACTTCGAATCAGGCAAGTTTGAGTCCCACTGCAGTCAGCATGTTGTTGTGTCCCTGGGCAAGACACTTCACCCCAAATTGTTCCTATGGGGATTGTCCACAGTTAGTCGCTTTGGATAAAAGTGTCTAACAAATGACATGTAATGTAATGTAATGACTCAATAATTTTCCTCCATGTTTCACCAGTTATCTCTTCCCCTATGTCCTTCTCCCAGCATCTCTTAAGGCCTACGATAATCGGGAGGGTTGGCAAGTATGGATCCTGTTGCTGCGGCCCTGCCTGACTTTCATCACACTGCTTCCCTGATGGCTCCCACAGGATTGTTGACATCCTCGTGGATTCATCTTCTTATTATAGACACATGCATTATTATGTATTATCTTTTCTATTTACCCACGGCATCTATTGCACCACCCAGACCAGTAAATAGTTTTTTTGCCTATTTTCAGATTTAAATTATGCCATAGTGACGTTTTAAGAGTAAAAGTGGGGTTTTTCCAGCGTTTCTTAATGCTCTGAAGCCTCTTAATAATTTGTGGTCATGGTCTAAATCTGAAATGTGAAACCTATTTAATATGCACAAGGCAACATCTTAATGGAACATGAAGACATGACCTATAACACCTTAATCATGTAATGAAATATACCGATTTGGCATGGTCTAATCAGACTAGACACAATAATGGATTTCTAAAAGTGTCCTTTGTGAGCAATGACAATTAAATGAAACCCAAAGAGATATACAATACGATTGATGGTGCATTTGCATATGTGAAAAGCAGACCATCAATCATTGCCTCAATTTATTCTGTGAGAGGCTTCTCTGCTGCTCCGGTCAGGGAACACACACAGCATTAAATGTGTAAAAACTGCATTTTGTGTAAGTTTTGATAAATAGGCATATACAGTGTATTTAGATCAACTCCTCGGATAAATGATTCATTTAGAGTCTAGCTACTACATATTGAAATACAGTCTTGCTTGATTTTAACAGGCTTGCATTCTACAATCTTCAAGATCACTTTTTGTGGTTGTTAGCATTGGGAGCATTGACTAGAAAGTATAACACAGCCATGGTGTTATGAGTTGGACTTGAACCCTTGTATCCTAAAATATCATCCAAACAAAGATAAAGGGAAACTCTTTAGTTGGGACATTTTCATTGGCAGGACTGTTAAATACTTCCAGCAGCCTGTGTGTATGAGGGCTGATGATTCAAAATCCTCTGGTGTTTGTGTCCCGCTGACAGTCACCACCCCCGTGTCCAGGGGAGGAAGGGAGTGTCGCTTAGCAAACAACAGCAGGGAAGGATACAAATAAATCTAAAGAACAAATGCAGTAAAAAGCTTTTGGCCTTGTTATAGCAGAATGTTTAGTACAGCGTATTTCTGGTATATTCATTTAATGTCACATGGTATAAACCAGTGGTTCCCAACCTGGGGGGCGCAGGGGGGGCGCCAAAGATCGCAGGGGGGGCGCCAGGCCTCAGATTATTTGAGGCCAAGTATCATATTTAGACTTTTTTTTTTTTGTATATATATTTTTTTTTTACATATTATTGTACGCAATACATGATTGTCACTAAAAGCCTTGTCTCTATATTACAACAAAATATAAAAAATAATTGATGAATTCATTTGAATACAAATTCAAGTTATTAAGCTATTATAGGCATAAAAAGACAGAAATGTATAATTCTTTCTTTAATAGAAATGTTTCTTCTGCCCGTAAAGTGTCCAAGCCAGGCTTGTCTGGATAAGCGCATTTTTAAAACATAATCATTGTCCATGCCGGTTTCAGTTGGATTATTTGTCACAGTTGCTCCGATCAGATCGGTCTCCTCCATTTTGTAGATTATTTATGACTTTTGAATCCACATAAACACATCGGCAAAATCCGGTTTACTTTGAGCATGTGTTTTAAACAGTTTAACGGAATTGTTTCCACTTCCGCGCCGTACTTTAATTCACATGCTCAAAGTAAACCGGATTTTGCCGATGTGTTTATGTGGATTCAANGTCAAAGCATTTAAGATATTCATTGCTATCGGGATGTTAAGAGCATTCCATGGAATATAACAAAAAGTGTATCTCGAGCCGGTTTCTCAAACTTACCTACCCCACCTTTAAGATAAAAAAACACAGCAATAAATATATACAAAATAACAGTCACTTCAATATCTTTGGGAATCTACATGAGTGCAAGATTGTCCATAGCAGCGTAAAAAGGTGCTGGATTTATGTCCCCATCTAACAACAGTCAATAATATTGTTGGCCCCAATTGATAACCGTTTGTTTATCAAATCACAGGCTGTTTATCCATGGTTTTCTGTTTGAATGTGGTATGCGAGATTCTCAGAAGGGTTAAAAAAAAAAATGCTGGGGGTAAAAAATATTCATACAATGTCGCCATGGGAGATCTGAGGGAGCCTATTTCCACTGCACCCTGGGTGAGAAGAACAAAATGATTTTGATCAGAAAATAACCGAGAAGTCCGCTTGAAGCTACAGACGATCTATCTACCACAGAAAACACTAAATTAAAGAACACAGATGACAAAAAAAATGACTTGTTGAGCTCCGAGCGGGGAAAAGCAGCTCCATTCGCCGCCTTCAAACACTTTCCCGCAGTGGGGAAGAAACAAAAACAAAAGTTAGTGGTACAACTTGGGTTTTTTAAATGTGGTGAAACCCAGAGGGACTCACTGACTGCTCACATTATAAAAGTGGAGCCTGTTTGTTCAGCCTCAGTTATTACTCTGCTGGCTGACAGAGGAACTGACGTAGTGGAAGTGTTTGTGAATGCAGGTTCTTACTTAGCATTTATCAATCTTGTGAATATTGGACGCACTTGTAAAAGGGATAATGTTATTGTTGTGTTGAATTATTTACACTGGAAATACAAATCACTTTGCGAGTCTATACTTGCAGCAAAATATGGATGTAAATGTGGCTGGATTTCTTTTCTTTTTTTAAATGTGTAAGAGTCTGGTTTCATATCACCTTGTATAAGTGAAGAGATGGACCAAATGTAAACACCTTTTATGTTTGTTAACACGTAGGAACCTTCAAGTGTCTGCTTATGTTCAATGTTTTTTTTACATTATTAATAATCATAAGATGACACTGTTATAAGACCTAAACTTAACACACACACACACACACACACACACACACACACACACACACACACACACACACACACACACACACACACACACACACACACACACACACACACACACACAGCATACCAATACCACAGAAGAAAAACAGACTACAAACAAAACCAATCCTTGTATCATCACCTTTCTCTGGATTATACTAC